GAAATTTCACGACTGGATTTGTTGCACAGGTGGCATCCTATGACAGTTCCACGCTGGAATTCACTGAGCTCCTGAGAGCGGCCCATTCTTTCCCAAATGTTTGTAAAAACAGTCTGCATGCCTAAGTGCTTGATTTTATACACCTGTGGCCAGGCCAAGTGATTAGGACACCTGATTCTGATCATTTGGATGGGTGACCAAATACTTTTGGTTATTTTTTTATATATATATATATAATTTATTTTTCTTTCATTATATACGCTCAATGCATAAAATCATGCAGATACAGGTCAAGTGCTTCAGTTAATGTTCACATCAGACTGAGGAAAAAGTGTGATCACTGTGACTTTAACCATGGCATGGTTGTTGGTTCCAGATGGGCTGGTATGAGCATTTTAGTAACTGCTGATCGCCTGGGATTTTCGCACACAGCAGTCTCTAGAGTTTTTCACAAAATGGTGCGAAAAACAAAAACATCTTGTGAGCGGAGGATCTGCAGGCTGAAACACCTTGTTGATGAGAGAGAGATCAGAGGAGAATGACCAGACGGGTCTGAGCTGACAGGAAGTGTATAGTAACTCAAATAAGCACTCAACTGTCTTCAACTGTCCAGTTTCAATGAGTCTGTGCCCATGATAGCCTCAGGTTCTTGTTCTTGGCTGACAGGAGTGGAACCTGGAACAGCCTTCTGCTGTTGTAGCCCATCCACCTCAAGGTTTGTGTTTTATGCATGCTGAGATGCTTTTCTGCTCACCATGGTTGTAAAGAATGATTTTATGACTTACTATATCCTTCCTGGCAGCTCAAACCAATCTGACCATTTTCCTCTGACCTCTCATCTCCAAGGTGTTTCCACCCACAGAATTCTCTCTTACAGAATGTTTTTGTTTTTCCACACCATTCTGTGTAAACTCTAGAGACTGTTATATGTGAATTTCCCAGGTGATCAGCAGTTTCTGAAATACTCAAAACAGCCCATCTGGCACCAACAACCTTGCCACAGTTAAGTCCTAGAGATCACACTTTTTCCCCACTCTGATGTTTGATGTGAACATTACCCGAAGCTCTTGACCTGTATCTGCATGTATCTGGTTTTATACACTGTGCTGCTGCCACATGATTGACCATATTAAAGTGGACGATGAGATTGTGTGTGTGTGTGTATAAAATATAATTCTTTTCCCTTCTTCATACTACAACTTCGTCTTTATAATCCCAAGGGGAGCCACTTTTTCTGGGTGCTGATTTGGTTCAGGAGAGAAACACAGATAATGGCAGTTGACCAGCACTGTGGCCACAAAATACAGAGGGGAAACTGATGGGAGACTTTTCCATGTATTAAACATGACTAAATGTGGTTTTGTATTTGGCTTTGCCTTTATGCCAGCTGTTGTAATATTTCAATTTGTACATAACCCAATAATCTTATTTAACCCATTAATCTCTTTCATTTTTATATTCATTTTTAGGTCGATATGCGTTCCACTTATGGAAACCTCTTGGTCAAGTTATTACAGAAAGTGCCAAAAAGTTTCCCTCTTCAGTAAGTAACAAAAAACGTTTTGTTAACTCAGTAATCTAAAAAATAAAACTGTTTTTCAAATATCTTGTATATAACCTCTTTTTAAATCCTACAGTTTCACAATCAGTTTTAGGCAGCCATGATTTGTTAAATGTTTTTGGATTTTTCCACGTTTCCAAGTTTTATGCTGCATGTTGTATGGCCAGAAGCGTTTTTGGCATGTTAACCTTCCACTTGTGGGATTTCACTCTTGTGGAGTTGCAGTTTCACCCCAGACTTGAGTTCATATTGATTTTCCTCAGAGCTGTAAGGTTGTGGCATGCTTGGAAACCTCATCTGACCCACAATCCACCACCTTAAGATTAGCCATCATATATATGTATGTGATAATTGGGGTCAGTCAGTGGGTCACACCTCTAAATCCAACCCTCTAAGTTGTTGGATGTAAGTATTTTTTTTTGCCCTCGCTGGTAGAAAAATACTATTTGCAGGTGACTCAAGGCAACATGTGAAAGTTTCATAAAGTGTTATGTATCAACCATAACCCTATGTTCTCACTAGCAAGTGACTTTCAAGTTCGCATATGATGAGATTAAACCACAATGAAATGAAAAAATTATTTTTACCTGATTTGCACAGAATTGAGAAAATCTCTGTTCACATGTTGCATGCCACTTTGTTGCTTACTTGTGTGAGTGCAGATTAATAACACCTGAATATCTTATTTTGTGTGTGAGTATGCAGTCTGAGACCTTCTGACAAATCACATATTATTCACAGTAGTCATTCAGTTGTCTTTCCTTTTCTTTTTGTCACATACACGTCAGAAAATGTGCACAATACGGAGCTATCCACTTAGCAACCTGTGACCATGCTTGGAGCTACAGGAGAACTTGCTCTCCAAAGCTGGCGATAGCTTCCTCTTCTACTTGACTGTGCTTTCTTGTATGGTTGCAACCATTTTTCATATATTAGCCTTGACTTAGTTTTCCCTGCTTAGTATTACTAGACTACATTAGTTACAGTATACTGTTTGCTACAATGTCTCTACAGGTTTGCAGTCACTGTTTTGTAAAAGGCACCCCACTGGCTTGGTTTCTTCCTCTACATTTTCTCCGCTGAATGGTCCACATTTCTTTCTGTCTAGCCAAATACTGGCCTATGGCTACATTGCTATAGTTAAGTGGTCTCCCTCATCCATTCCTGAGCCTGCTAGATTTATGGTTAAGAGGCCATGGATTGAAGGATGCAGGTTTCTGAATCACAAAGTTAGGATATAAACAAGAGGTTCTATTCATCTTACTTATTTGACCATAAGAAGGATTTAAGAGATTTGAACATATGCTTAGGGTGTTTCATATGCTTTCATATGCTTTGGGGCAGTCATGCCCTAATGGTTAGAGAGTCTGACTTGTAACCTGAAGGTCGTGGGTTCGAGTCTGAGGTCTGGCAGGGATTGTAGGTGGAGGGAGTGAATGACCAGCGCTCTCCTCCACCCTTAATACCATGACTGAGGTGAGACCCTTGAACAAAGCACCGAACCCCCAACTGCTCCCTGGGCACCGGAGCAAAAAAAAAAAAAAAAAAAAAAAAAAAAAAAAAAAGGCTGCCCACTGCTCCGGGTGTGTGTTCACTACTGTGTGTGTGCACTTGGATGGGTTAAATGCAGAGCACAAATTCCGAGTATGGGTCACCATACTTGGCCACAAGTTACTTAGAATAGTAACAGATGTAGTCCTGTACAGCCCCAGGACTGGTTCACCTCTGTGGATCTGTGTGATGCTCTCCAGAACATAGATAATTTTTGAGGTTTATAGTCTTTGGGTTTATAGACCCAAAGTCTAATTGAAGACTTTGCAATTCGAAGTCCTGCTAGACCGTCCCCTTATCACCATGGAGGTTGTCTTCCCTTATAGCTTCTAGTATCAAGATACTGGCATACTTGGATGAATGGATCCTGTCTGCACCAAGGAGCAGGGACGCATCCACCTTTCTCACCTCCATTACCTTGCTAGATCTTACGGTGACAAGTGTTCCCTAACACAGTTCCGTACAGTTTGTCTGCATGAGGCTAGACTGAGTATGCTAGCCAGCCCAATGTGTGGCTGATATTAGTATGCTTGCCAATCATATTCAGCCTGGCTGCCACGTGTGGTATCAGTATCTGCTGAGGATGCTGTAATGGTGTTGAAATCATTGATCTTGTCTGCTTGCTGGAGCTACTGGCATTACAGAGATGGGCTGGTCCGCAAACAACACAGACAAGAACCTGGTCTTGTCTCAGTGAAAGCAGCCGGCATCTCTGTTACAGACTGGGGAGTGTTGTGGTGTCACAGTGGTATGTGTAAAGTCAGGACACATCAACCAGCTGGATGTTAGGGCAGTTTCTCTGGCCTATTCTTGGTGGTTTTGTGACCGTGTGTGATGGTCAGATATATCAAACATCAGGGCAACACAAGATCGAGTAGCTATCTACAGCTAAACTGCTGTCCCCACCTATTCTAAAGGGTGTATGTGGCAGCCATTGCAGCATGCCAAATCACCATGGTTAGCATATACACTGTATGGCCAAAAGTATTTGGAGAACTGAGTATTGAACATCCAATATTGAGTCGTTCCCCCTGTAATATCGAGTTGCTCCTCCTTTGCTGCTATATCAGCCTCCACTCCTCTGTGAAGGCTTTCCACTAGATTTTAGAAAGTGGCTGTGGGGATTTGTGCTCATTCAGCCCCAAGAGCTTTAGTGAGGTCAGGCATTTATGTTGGCCTGGTGCACAGTCGTCATTCTAATAGATCCCACAGATGTTCAGTGCAGTTGAGCTCAGGTTTCTGTGCAGGCCATTCGAGTTCTTCCACACAAACCTTGTCAAACCATGCCTTTATGGATCTCACTTTGTGCACAGGGGCATTGTCATGCTGGAACACATTTGGGCAAGGTTCCTTAGTTCCAGTGAAGGGAAATCTTAATACTACAACATTCAAAGATAATCTAGAGAATTGTGTGCTTCCATTTTTGTGGCAGCAGTTTGGGGAAGACCCACATATGGCTGTGAGGGTCAGGTGTCCACATATTCTTTTGGCCATATAGTGTATCTAGGGTCTCACAGGCTTATTTCTGCCTTTCTAAAGGCAGTGAGGCACATTGAGAGAGAGTTGAAGGCTGTGTCCCATCTGAATAATGCACACTAAATGCTATGCCTAACTGAAGAGAAGAGACCAAATAAATGCTTACATGTTCTGGAAGAAAAAAAGCTAAACCTCATTTGCACCTGAATGCTTTCTCCTCTTATTATATAATAAAACGCGTAATAAATACTCCTCTTAAAATGGCATGTTTTTGTGATGTAAAAAATTAAACAAAGATGAATCATGACAGCTTTTTCCACCGTCGGTGTGAAATTACAAAGTATAAACATATAAATAAAAACCGTCTATTTTAACTGGGTGTGTAGAGTTTTTATATCCACTGTAACTCAGCAAAGAGTTCTGTAATAGCTGCAGAAACTAGAAAAGTCATACATGTTTTTCCTTCTTGCCCTGATTATTAACTTTTGGTCGACCTCCAGAGCGAACAGGATTTGTAATGAAAGCTTGTGCCAGTTCCTTCATGTTGTCATAACTAAAATAATGGTTGGTCTCACAAATATGATGTTTGTTTTTAATAACAAATTTCATACTTGTGACATTAATTTGAGAATATGTGCATGTGTTACATTAATGGCAGATACAGGTCATTAACAAACATGAAAAGCAGGGGTTTGAGCAAAAATGTTCAGGAACAAATAACGCTTGCAATATAAACATCCTTAATGATCTTAGAACGACGTGTTGTCATCTGTTTTTGTATTATTGTCGAGGATCTCCGACTGTCTGAGCAATGTATATTTTAATGTATTTCACCAGGCATTCTCGGCATATTACAAAGGCGGATTTGAGCAGAAGATGACTAAGCGGGAAGCCAGTCTCATTCTAGGGATCAGGTAAGAACGTAATGCCTGTGTGTTCTTCACAGCCTTCTCTCTCATTAGTTTCTTGTTTTAGTGCTTCCTTTGTGCATTGGTCTATATGAACAAAGGCTGTTTCTTTTGCAACATGTGAATGCACTGAATCACTAGTTTTCCCAGCAGGGCATGTGGTCCTATTCAAAGACTATCTTTTTGGTTTCATGTCTTAACTTTGATCCTAGCGTGGGTGACGACTGTAAACCACAATCTTGTCTTTAGCTTTGTAATCTGCTCAGTCAAGGACCACCCAAAATTTCTCTAGTACAGGAGGATTGAGGAAGTGTCGTCAGGGTTTCACACCAGCTGTGACTCACCTTGGCTCGATTACCCTTTCTGTGGTGGACTTTGCATCATATGGTTGCTGCTCACTTTGTCCTTTTCTCTGTTAAGTTGTCTTTTGACTGCACCACACAATGACCAACATTGCTTGGCTGTGTTCCTTTATTTTACTTAACCATTGGATACTATCAAATAAAGATTGTTAGCTTGAGTGAATAAGCGTAATTCATTTAAACAGAGCATCTGTTAAAGCAGCAAAGCTTCAGTGAGCTACTACTTCCACTGTTACAGTGCAACCATACCTTGCATTTAAACACGTAGATCAACTACTAACAAGTGTATAGCACGGAGAGTCTTTTAGTGGTTGACTTTCTAACCCCCTCTTAGTGATTACGTCAAAGTGTCCAGCGGCCGGTGATGCAGACAGGGCATGACGACAAGAAAAACGGCCGCTGTAGTCACTCTTTTAATGTCCCCTGAGAGAGACTATTTAATCAGCACTTCTGTTCAGTAAGCGGAGCATGCTGCTTCTAGTGACTGAGATGAAAAATAGTCATTACAAGACATTACACTTCCATCTGTATCTTGGTCTCTGCTATTGCACAATGAATTTTTTGTCTCTCTTTGCTCTCAAAAGGTTTGCATCAGTTTGTCTTTCTCAGGGCTCTGTTAAAAAGGGTGAGAATAAGCAATTGGACTGATTCACCCTCCCATCTGTCAAGCCTTATAAAGCCATCTGGAGTGCTGTAGCCAATATGAGCCCTCAGTCCATGGACTATGATATTGAGGAATAAACCCTAGGCAGTCTGGGCATGCTCCCTGTGTATGTAAATGACCACAGCTCTTTTTGGGCAGACATTTGTTTTGAGTAGACTCTAAGCTCTTCTCTCTGGTCTTGGCTATTGGTCACACTTAATGATGTGTCTTTTCTAATTTTCATAAAATGGTTTATCAGTGAGGACCTATTCCCTATGTTTATCACCAGATAAATTAAGAGTCTAGTCAGGGAAGGTGAGATTTTTTTTTCTTTTCTGGAAGGCGCTGTTGTGAAGCTGAGTGGCTAACAGTCTTTACACCTTTTCTCTGGAAAAGCTCGTGTCTGCAGAAGCCATTTTGATTAGGCTGATGATTTATTTCAAAATACAGCACAAGATCCTAATGCTGGAAGAATATTTAGTACGTTGTATTTGCTTTATGGCCACTAGATGGAGGTGTGCTGTCATTTACCAATAATGGTTCCATGCATGTTTCCCTTTGCACAGTCCAACAAGCGCCAAGGCAAAGGTGCGAGAAGCCCATAGGAGGATCATGGTCCTAAATCATCCAGATAAAGGTCAGTGGTTTTTATTCTGCAAGACTATATCACAAACAGTTGCACTTTTTTTTTTTTTTTTAAACTAATCTTTGTTCTGTATTGTATTCATTGTTTTTATTTAACAGCACAAATGGAAGGTTAATTGCATTATTATTCCTGACATTTATGTGATATAAAATGTATAATTTATGTATGTATAATATTCTATGGCCTCTACCCAGTGACTTTACTAGTGCCCTGATTTTTTTCTGTGGTCATTTAGACTTGTCCAACCCACTCAACTCCAAATAGGCACAATTTTAAAAAAAGCTGGCCAGTGATTTATTTCCCTGTTCAAGGTTAATGGCTCCCCTCACGTCTAGCTTTTCCTTCCACCACCTGCATTTTTCACAGACCTGAGCTGTGTGTGTGTGTGTGTGTGTGTGTGTGTGTGTGTGTGTGTGTGTGTGCGTGTGTGTGTGTGTGTGCGCGCGCACTTGTGTGTCTTCCTGCCTGCCAGTGCAGTGCTCCTCCAGGCCACTGTTACAGTGTATGAAATGAGCAATGTGCTTTGCGATGCCTATCTGTGGCTGAAAGATAAGGCCGTTAACCATGAGGAAGATGCCCTGCGGAGAGGGAGAGACCTGTTCTGCAGAGAAATATTGCTCATTAAAGCTGTACCACAAATACACATGTAGCTGTAGCATCCTTTTTGTTATGCGGAAGGCATAGGCGAGCAAACTGAGTATCTAATCCTGTCACAGAAAAGAACAGACCCCCAGTTATGGGTGTCTACAGCATTTCCTGGCTCGAGATGTTGACAGAACAGGACACTGGAGGCTTCATAAATCACGATGGAGTGATTGCATCCCATC